GGGCAGTGGCTGGAGAGGGAATCCAGGGAAGGGAACAGAGCTGATGCCAGCCAATCCTGGGGAGTGATCCTGCCTTTTCCACAAATTAAACAAAAAATAAATGGAGTATTGGGAAAGAAAGGTAGTGAAGAGTGCAATGGGTGACAGCAGTCTGGGGAGAGAAGGGGCCTCTCCAAGGAATCAAAGATCCTGCTTGGGGCAGAACAAAGGAATGGGAGCCCTGGGAACMCTGAGCTCCATCCTGGGAAACAGGAACGGCTTCCCCAGCCCGGGGACACCCACCCAGAGCTCACCCTGCCCTGGGGAGAGATTCCTGACCTTCCCTGGGGCTGCCCCGAGAGGCTCCTTCAACCAGCACTACCAGCACAGCCACAGCTCCCTCCCATCCAGCCCTGTCCCGGGAGCAGAGGATGAGGGATATCCCATGGGGAAAACTGAACTGGGGCAGAGGGTGAGGGATATCCCATGGGAAAAACCAAACTGGGGGCAGGTGAGGGATATCCCGTGGGAAAAGCCAAACTGGGGGCAGGTGAGGGATATCCCATGGGAAAAAAAACATCCCAGGGGCAGAGGGTGAGGGATATCCCATGGGAAAAGCCAAACTGGGGGCAGGTGAGGGATATCCCACTGGGAAAAGCCATCCCAGGAGCAAGGATGAGAGATATCCCACTGGGAAAACCAAACTAGGAACAGAGGATGAGGTATGTCCCACTGGAAAGCAAAACTGGAAGCAGAGGGTGAGGGATATTCTACTGGAAAGGCATCCTGGGAGCAGAGGGTCAGGGATAAAGCCAGGAAAGCCATCCCAGGAGCAGAAGATGAAGGATATCCCCATGGAAAGCCATCCCAGCAGCAGAGAGTGAGGGATATTCTGCTGGAAAGCCATCTCAGGGGGCAGAGGATGAGGGATATCCCCATGGAAAGCCGTCCCAGGAGCAGAGGGTCAGGGATAAAGCTGGGAAAGCCATCCCGGGGGAAGAGGGTGAGGGATAAAACTGGGAAAGCCGTCCCAGGAGCAGAGGGTGAAGGATAAAGCTGAAAAGGACACCCCAGGAGCAGAGGGAAGGAGGATGAGGGATATCCCCATGGAAAGCCACTCCAGCAGCAGAGGGTCAGGGATAAAGCCAGGAAAGCCATCCCAGGAGCAGAGAGTGAGGGATATTCTGCTGGAAAGCCATCCCAGGAGCAGAGGATGAAGGATAAAGCTGGAAAGGCCGTCCCAGGAGCAGAAGATGAAGGATATCCCCACGGAAAGCCATCCCAGGAGCAGAGGACGAAGGATATCCCCATGGAAAGCCATCCCAGGAGCAGAGGGTCAGTAATATCCCCATAGAAAGTCACCCCAGCAGCAGAGGGTCAGGAATAAATCCAGGAAAGCCGTCCCAGGAGCAGAAGATGAAGGATATCCCCATGGAAAGCCATCCCAGGAGCAGAGGGTCAGGAATATCCCCATGGAAAGCCATCCCAGGAGGAGAGGGTCAGGAATATCCCCATGGAAAGCCATCCCAGGAGCAGAGGGTCAGGGATAAAGCCGGGAAAGCCGTCCCGGGGGCAGAGAGTGAGGGATAAAACTGGGAAAGCCGTCCCAGGAGCAGAGGATCAGGGATATCCCCATGGAAAGCCATCCCAGGAGCAGAAGATGAAGGATATCCCAATAGAAAGCCATCCCAGGAGCAGAGGGTCAGGAATATCCCCATGGAAAGCCATCCCAGGAGCAGAGGATGAAGGATATCCCCATGGAAAGCCATCCCAGGAGCAGAGGATGAAGGATATCCCCATGGAAAGCCATCCCAGCAGCAGAAGATGAAGGATATCCCCATGGAAAGCCATCCCCCAGCGTTCCCCCCCGTACCGCAGCGTGGAGTGGCGCCCCGAGCGCGAGATGCTGTTCCCCACGGGCGAGGGCAGATTGCTGCCCCGGTGCAGATCCTCAATGGAGCGGCTCCACGGCTTGCCCTTGTCCATGGAGCTCTCCACGCTGCTCTCCAGGCTCTCAAAGTCAAACCTGACAGGAAACAGAAACCCCAGGCTGGGTGAGGAGCGACAGGCGGATGGGGATCACTCCTAATGGGGTTCCCTCCTTGTGGGGATCCTCTTTATGGGGATCCCTCCTTATGAGATTCCATCCTTATGGGGTCGGTCCCCTCCTTATGGGGTCCCTCCTTGTGGGATTTCCTCCTTATGGGGTCCCTCCTTATGGGGTCCTCTTCTTATGGGGATCCCTCCTTATGGGGTTCCTCTTTATGGGGTTCCATCCTTATGAGATTACATCCTTATGGAGTCCCCTCCTTATGAGATTCCATCCTTATGGGGTCCCTCCTTATGGGGTTTTCTCCTTGTGGGATTTCCTCCTTATAGGGTCCCTCCTTATGGGG